TCATCTTCTTTTCCCCCGCCCGCAGTACATCAACCAGACGAGCCCGTACGCAAGCCTCAACACCTTGTATTTCTGGAAGGGATATCCGCACGACGCACTGCCTGCACTCACCAAGTGGTACTGTGCGTTCCCGCTTCCGCCGTCTCGGTGCGACTCAGGATCTGACTCTCTTCCTCGCCCGACGCAGACCTCGTGTCGACGGCCTGTGAGACGCACCCTCCGCACTCCAGAGTCGTGCAGACAGAGAATGCTGACGACGTTCCGCCGCGCAGTCTACCTGAACCAGATCATCGTCATCAACCTCGAGGCGCCTCGCAAGGACTACTACCAGATGTTCGCTCACCACATCATCACGGCCGTCCTGATGATGTTCAGCTACGTCCTCAACTGGACCCGGATCGGCAACACGATCCTGTGCACGATGGACCTGGTCGACATCCTCCTGCCTGTGCGTCGAGCTCACTCTCTTCGCCTTTGTCTCCCGCTCACTCGCTCCGAGCCGCCCTCCACAGCTCGCCAAGCTCTTCAAGTACACCGGGCGACACAAGGCGTCGGATGCGACCTTTGCCGCGTTCCTCGTGTGCTGGATCGTGACACGGCACCTAATCTTTGGGCGCATCATCTGGTCGGTCGTGTCCGAGCCGCAGACGGTCCTCGAGTACGGTTGGCGGTCGCAGGACGGCTACTACTTCAGCCACAACGTCCAGCGGTACTTTGCTGGGCTGCTGCTCGCCCTTCAGCTGCTCATCTGCATGTGGCTCGCCATGAGTGAGCCGCATCCTTCCACTCCCTCCCAAAGTCGGGTCTCCCCGAGCTGACGCACGCCTCGTTCACGACAGTCCTGCGGGTACTGTACAACATGTTCATCACCGGGACCGCCGAAGACAACCGCAGTGACGACGAGGACGACGGCGAGGACGACGAGGCGGCAGCGGACGGGGCACGGGCACGGGCACGGGCACGGTCGAACGGGGCGGCGAGTCGCAACGGTCACGCCAACGGCCATGCCGACAGTCGAAAGAGGCGATAGAACCAAAAGAGCTTGCCTCCCCTTTGCAACCAGTACTCGTTGGTGTGTCGCACAGAATGGCTTGTCGTTCTTTCGAGCCCGAGGAGGAAAAAAACGGGCATGAAAGCGGGGGGACCGAGGCACGGCGTGTCGTCGGTCGGGGCGCGCCTGCCTCGGCGTGCGGGCTCACTCGCCCCTCCCCTTTCCCCTTTCCCCCTTCACCGCTACCTCGCCATTACGGCTCAGGCTAGACTCTCCTCGACCCTCTCCCACCTCTCGTACAATCCGACAATGTCCACCGACGCTGTGTGAGTCTGCTCCCCGTGTCCTCACTCGCGGGCCCACCACCCACCCCCCCTTCCCCAAACCACGGCGTCACTCGCTCGTCAAGCGTCTCGCCTCTCACGCCTCTTGGGCCCGTGTGTGGTGGCTCGCCATGTCGAGCAGACTGCTGGGGCTTCAGGGCAGTTCGACGCACGGCGGCGCGAGTGGTGGATCGAGCGGGATCAGGGCGAGAAGCCGACGGGACCGAGACCCGAGGAAGAGGGTGACGCAGCATGGCCCTGCTCGCTTAACCGCGAACTGTGCTGTCTGCGCGACCGCCTAATCGCCTTTGTGGTGCCTTCAGCGGTACCCTGGTGCATCGCGCGAGCCCTCGAGACGTCGACAGCGCGAGCGGGTCCCATCGATGCCGCATCTTGGTCCAACCTCACCTCCCTTCCCCTCTTTACTGACCGATCCCGATCACCTGTGCTCGCCATGCAGTGCCGACATCGGTCTCATTGGCCTCGCGGTCATGGTGCGTCGCCGCCGTCTCTCGAATGCGACCCATGTTGGCCGACCGACCGACGCTGACCTCGATTCCACGCTTTCCTCGCTTGCAGGGCCAGAACCTCATCCTCAACATGGCCGACAAGGGTGAGTCGCACTGTGCTCTGTCTAGTCCCTGACACGTTGCTGACGCGCATGATCCTCCCGCAGGCTACACCGTCTGCGCGTACAACCGCACGGTCTCCAAGGTCGACCACTTCCTCGACAACGAGGCCAAGGGTTCGTCCGCTCTTGCTCCTTCGCTCACGGTGGGCGCAAACTGACGTACTGTCGAGCAGGCAAGTCGATTGTCGGCGCCCACTCGATCGAGGAGTTCTGCAAGAAGCTCAAGCGCCCCCGCAAGATCATCCTCCTCGTCAAGGCCGGCTCGGCCGTCGACAACTTCATCGAGCAGCTTGAGCCGTTCCTTGAGAAGGGCGACATCGTCATCGACGGCGGCAACTCGCACTTCCCGGACTCGAACCGCCGCACCAAGGAGCTCGAGGCCAAGGGCCTCCTCTTCGTCGGCTCGGGTGTCTCTGGCGGTGAGGAGGGTGCGCGCTACGGCCCGTCGCTCATGCCCGGTGGCTCGTCGGCCGCGTGGCCCCACATCAAGGAGATCTTCCAGAAGACCGCCGCTCAGACCGACGGCCAGCCGTGCTGCGACTGGGTCGGTGAGGAGGGCGCCGGCCACTACGTCAAGATGGTCCACAACGGTATCGAGTACGGCGACATGCAGCTCATCACCGAGGCTTACGACATCCTCAAGCGCGGCTTCGGCATGAACGAGAAGGAGATCGCTGCTGGTGCGTCTACCTCTGCGCCTTGTCGCGCGCGCGTGCGTCGTCCTGACTCGACTGCCGCCCCCGACAGTCTTCGAGACCTGGAACAAGGGTGTCCTCGACTCGTTCCTGATCGAGATCACCACCGAGATCCTCAAGTACAACGACGATGACGGTGTCCCCCTCGTCACCAAGATCCTCGACGCCGCGTCGCAGAAGGGCACGGGCAAGTGGACCGCGACCAACGCGCTCGACCTCGGCATGCCCGTCACCCTCATCGGCGAGGCCGTCTTTGCGCGCTGCCTCTCGTCGATCAAGGACGAGCGCGTCCGCGCGTCCAAGGTCATCGGCGGCCCGCAGATCGAGCCCTTCACGGGCGACAAGAAGCAGTTCATCGACGACCTCGAGCAGGCCCTCTACGCGTCCAAGATCATCTCGTACGCTCAGGGCTTCATGCTCATGCGCGAGGCGGCCAAGGAGTACGGCTGGCACCTCAACAACGCCGGCATCGCCCTCATGTGGCGTGGTGGCTGCATCATCCGCTCTGTCTTCCTCGGCGACATCACGTCGGCGTTCCAGAAGAAGCCCGACCTCGAGAACCTCCTCTTTGACGACTTCTTCAACAAGGCCAGTGCGTCACCGTCCGCTGCCCTCACGCCTCTGTCGCTTTCCTTTGCTGACCTGCTCTCTTCGGCACGCAGTCCACAAGGCCCAGCCCGGCTGGCGCCGCATCGTCGCGCAGGGCGCCCTGTGGGGAATCCCGACCCCGGCCTTCTCGACGGCCCTGTCCTTCTTCGACGGCTACCGCACCGAGCGCCTCCCCGCCTCGCTTCTGCAGGCGCAGCGCGACCTCTTCGGAGCTCACCAGTACCTCGTCTTGCCCGAGTTCTGCGGCGACAAGTGTGCGCCGACGTCTTCTTCCGTTTCTTCTCGAGCCCTAGCGCTGACTCCTCCCCCTGTCCTCCTCACTCTCTTTTCTGCCCCGTTCCCGACCCTGGGCTTCGTTCCCACCCTCTACAGACCAGGAGGGCGTCCCCGTCCACACGAACTGGACCGGCCGTGGCGGCAACGTCTCGGCGTCGAACTACAACGTCTGAGGCGCGCGCGCCTGCGCGCAGCGGTGCTCGGCGGCACGGTCGTGGACCCCCCCTGCGGTCAACGCTTGGAGGGGGGAGGACGGCGGCGTGTGCGTGTGTGTGACTCTCTCGTCTCTACTTGAAAATACAGCGGTTCCCACAGTCATCGACTCGGCCGGGACGGTGTGCGCACGAGTCAGCGAGCGAGCGAGGAGAGCGCATGTGAGGCCCGCGAGGCGCGCCAAGAGAGGGTTCCGCCGGTCACGGTGGCTCGTGGTCATCTCGACGCCGCTCAACTTGACGAAGAGAAGCGAGCCGGGTCCACCTCGAGATGTCCTTCGGGCGACGCTCTCGAGGTGAGCGGACCGTGCGAGGGGAGGGTAGGTTGAGGCCTCGCTTCTGCTCGCTCGCCCGCTCGATTCGGTGACGGGTATTGCGGTACTCGTATCTATCTCTGTGAGATGCACCATGGATTCTCGTGTCTAGCGCTCCTCGCGAAAGAGGGACAGGAAGCCAGGACGCAGGGACCGAGAAGCGCGGCTGACTGGCTCGCGCTTCGGTGGTTTGCGTTCCGCCTCCGTGAACAACCCCAGGGTGAGCATCGAGTACTTGAAGCGTCCGCGCAGGTCACTGTGCCAGAGCGGCAGGTCCCTTAGAAGGAAGTGACGGCCACGAGCGGTTGTCACCCGACCCAAGAGCAGACAGCTTGTCGGGGGGAGGGGGGGAGGGGCGCTCGCCCCTCCTTTTTCCCGTGACCGAGTGACTGGCCTCGAGGCGCCCTAGCGACGAAGCAGGTGTGCGAGACGCTCTGCTTCCTTGGAGAGAACAGGGAGGCGCTTGACGGGAGTGGCCTTCGCGCGGGGCCGTGCACGGGTGCGAGGTCTAGCCCGCAAGAACTGTTTAGCCTGGAGCGATGGCACGTCTGCTGCATTTGAAGGTGAGACCATCCGGCACAGAGACGCTCGAATTCGGGGGGCCCACAGAGAGCTCGCCGCGTCGAGGACAAGGAGAGGCTCGAGCGGGTCGGCGTCGAGGCGGATCCTGATGTGGCTCGCATGAACCCCGCGGCCAGTCTGACAGCAGCAAAGCTGTCCGATGGCAGTCGACAGAAGCCTGGTGCAGCAGACACAAGAGTGCCCTGTGACCCTTGCAGCGAGAGCTCGAGGAGGAGCTGATGCCGGTGTCGACGTCGGCGGTCCCTCACCGTGGCGCCAGGGTGTCAGGGCGGCCCTGAGCTCCTTCGCTAAAGGTCACGGCGGGAGGGCCCTGCAAAAGAAGAGGAATCAAGGGGGAGGCGCACAACCGAGGGGCGGCAAAAGGGAATCCCCGCTCCCGGGATCGAACCAGGGACCTCAAGATAAACGAGAGAAGCCGATTACAGTCTTGCGCTCTTCCAACTGAGCTAAGCGGGGGGCTTGGTTGATCCGGTGGTGCTTTCTGGCGTCCCAATCCCGCTGTCTGGTTACTCAGGCCGCCGGCCGCGGTCCTCGGGGGCGCAAACTGCCCGTGCACGACCTCGTAGCTCGTGTGGCTGCTCGTCTGCTTGACCCATCTCTTGCCTCTCCCGATGGGATGGGCTGGCAGAAAGGCAGCGACCGACACCGCGCGCGCCGTGACCCGGGGGTTGGCGACCGAAAAGAGACTCGCCTCCTCCAGGCGGCTCCTGTCCCCACGTCTTCCGTAGAAGCGAGCGGGCCGTCAACGCTGTGTGCACTGCCCAAGTAGCGCCACTGCGAGCGCGGGCTCGACGGCCTGCGACGTTGTAATGCGTCGGGCAAGGGCACGAAGGCCCGAGGTCCGAGCGAGCTGTGCACGCCTCTCTCGTTCGTCACGTTCGCGACTCGCCCCGGCGCTGACACGTCAACGGCTGCAGTGTGTGCCTCAGGACACGGCTGACCTGCTTGGCCAGCAGCAGAAAACGGCCACGTGCACCAACTCGCTCGAGCGGACGGACCCTGGCTTCTCCTGTCTCCTCGTGACGAGACGCACGGTGTTCTGCGCGGGGATACCTTGTCGAGGTCTCGAGTGACTTTGAGAGCAGTCGACTGGGCACAGCGTGCTTTCGAAGCACCGGGCGAGAGCCAGAGTGCTTTGCACGGCAAGACGCGAGCGGAGGCGCGAGCTGTCGGTGCACACGGTCTCGCAAGTGCCCCTATCTTCTTGGATAGTCTGCTGTTCAAAAAATGGGAGAATGTGCGCCGTGCGGCGCTGAGACGCCTGAACCGCACACAGACGGCTCGGGACCATGGCGAGCAAAGCTGCCGCCGCGAGCGAGGGTGCGATGGGGCGCGTAAAAAGCGTGATCGCGAAGCGTGGACCACAGGGTCCCTTCGACGGGCTCTTGGTGCTGTGAGCGGTGATCGAAGGCTGTTAGGGCGCAATCAGCTGCACCCTGCTCGCCAGCGGCACTCTCCTCGACTCTGCACTCGTGCCGCACAGGGCCCGTCTTTGCCCTTTTTTCTCGCGACCTGCCCCTGTGAGCGGTGCGCACCAGACCGAATGTGAGAGCAAGTCCAATGCAGGAGAACCGTCAACACGTACCGCCAAAGGAGCGCTACCCGCGCGGCGCAAGAGTCAGGGGTCCGAGCGAGGTGGACGGGTGAGGGACCGTTTGAACTCACCCCCGGTTGCAAATTGACGAGTCTGCTTGGCACATGAGCGTCAGACTCGCTCCAAGGGCGCGGTTTGAGAGGACGAGAGCAAGGGACGTCGATCTGGGGGTTGCACGCTGCCTCGCAGCTGTGGGGCCCAGTCTGCGCTCCTCTGACAGCCCTCGCACGACCTGCTACGCTCTCGAGGCAGCGCAAGTCGAGATTACAAAGGTCAAAGGAGGGCACGGAAGCTGCGAAAGACGGGCCGAGTGGGCTTGACGCCAGTGAGGGCGGGCAGAAGGCGCCGCGCTCTCTCGAGCCCTCACGGGCCCGACTCGACGTCTGTCGCCCGCTCGTTCGACAGCTCGCTCGAGTAAGCTCTCACAATAAGCCGGTACAAGACAAAAAAAGGGGCCCTTGTCGCCTGACGCGTGCCGGGAGGGAGAAGCAGGCTCGCACGGGCCTCCTTGACCCTACTCGACCCTACTCGACCCCACTCCACTCCCCTCGACTTGCAAAGGCTAGATGGATGTCTTCCAAGCCTCGTAAAGGCTCGGAGAGTCGCAAAAGGATCGTCCTCGGACAGGTTTGAACTGTCGACCTCCCGATGGCGACTGTGCAATACTAAGTGCAATATTTAACAGTCGGACGCTCTGACCAACTGAGCTACGAAGACTTTGATGGAAGCAGCAGCGAGAACATGCTGACAAGTCCACGTACCAGCCCGCTTCCGTCCGTCCACCACCTTTCCTGGCGCGGAACAGCCCCGCACGCCCTTCGACACTTCGTGGCCACGTGAGTGACTTCTAAAGCCTTTCGGCATACAGGTGCAGACGTTATCGGCTCAAGGGCGCTTCAGCTGAGCGGACGGAGCAGGACGAAGCAGGACTCGGAGGAGTGCTCGGGCCTTAGTCCCCTCTCTTTACCACTCCCTCGCTTCCTCCCCCTCGGACTCCTTCCCATCTCTTTGTCGCTCCTCGCCACTCTCGTCATTCCGAGCTTGCTTAGACATCCTCCCCGTTCCCCTCCCTATAGGAACTCGTCGCTCTCTCTCTTCAGTAGACCAACCTTCTCAACTCCGACTCGCCTCGTTCCCTCGTCCCTCCTTTGCCTCGTCCCTCGCCCAAGTCCTTGCCAAGACAACAGACGTCAGGTAAGCCTTGGACCGTCGCTGACCGCAAACGCGCGCGCGGGCGGCCCCGGATCCGTCGTACCTGCTGCTCTCTGCGCCGAGTGCGAACCGACTGGGCGCCTTGAGCCCCCGCTCTTCCGACACGTCCTTGCCAGTGCTCCCGAGCGTCCAGAGGTCAGTCCTGCAGCCGGGAGTACACCTGTGTCCCCGCCAGCTCGGTCAGAGTGCGCCGTTCGTCTCTCCCTCTGCTCCTCGGCGCTCGAGCCCCTTT